TCTCTATGTTGTCATTTTCCTGCTAACAGCAGCAGCAGTTGTGAACTTTAATCAAAGTTTCAGCTTCAAGTTTAGAAAGCTTGTTGATTTTAAATGTAAGCCTCTAACGGCTAAGATAAAGCGATGAGGAACAGGATCAGTTCAAGAGCAAAGACAAGATGAGGCATGTCTGGATGTAGGTCCTTATCTCTGAAGTTTTATGTTTCATTCAGGTTATAAATCATAAAACATGACATATCTAATGGGTTTTTTTTTCCCATAAACAACACTATACCTTTTTGAATGTTGAATTAAATGTATTCTTCTGTTTTCTGTTAGAAGGTACAAAAGGAGATATTTAGCTATTTACTCTGGAGGAGGCTTTAAAGGAAACCAAGTTGATGAGTCATGAAGCTCATTTCAGAGCAGTGTTGGGCTCGAAATTAAAGAAAGGAATGTATTACACATTAAACTTGAAGTTAAAGTTTAAGGGGGATACGATCTTTCTTGTACTTGTTACATATGAACATAAAGCCAAAAATGCAAAGCAAATCTGGAAACCAGCCTAAAGAGCCTTCAGAGTGACTGCAACAGTGATTCTACTTTAGAAACATGAACAGATAGAAACAGTAGTTGCAAGCCTGATCTTTCATATTTGGTTTCTGGAGGTGCAGATATGAATTAAAAAGACCTCCATGGCACACAAACTCAAAACTTTTATGTGTGTGGTGCCACACACATAAAAGCCAAATAGAATGGTGATTTTCCATTTAAGATTGCGGGCCAACACTGCCACTAATTCTAAATTTACAAAAAGATTAGTTGTTGGAAGACTCAATTACACATTAAAGAGTGCATATTTGTGAATATAATATTTTTTTCTATGAATTCAGCTCAAAAAGCAACATATTAGATTAAATCTTTGGTACCGAGGAATAATAAATAATATTATGTCACACATAGGAATTCACAGTTAATTTAAATATTTTCATTGACATAAAGCTTATATTACTATATAATGTTGAATTTGTCACATGACATCATGTGACTGAATGAAATGCAGGAGAATACCGATCAGTGATGTTTTGATTTTGTGACAGGAACCTGGCAGAAAGAGTTATCTGTATCTGCATAGTTTATGGCTTCTCTTTGACTCTCCTGGTGTCTCGTGGTAATAGTTTAAATACTTCAAAAACATAACTGCATTCTTGCCAGCTCCGAAGAAAAAGCAGCCTGTGCTGATAGAAGATGAAGATACAGGTGTGAGTGACATATGTTATGAAACATTATAGCAAGAGGAAGAGAAGGCACATGAAATTTTCCTTTAGCTTTGTACAACCTCAGCTTGTCCAGTCCTTTCACAAATATATAGCTGTTTTCTCTAGTGTCTGTCACAGCTCTGTCAGTGTAAACAGCATAGCAAATGGTCTATGCTCTTGTGGTTTTAGTTTACTGATTCTGGGAAAAAATGCCTGAGAGATAACACTCATGGGAATGATTTTTACATAAAAAAAAGAGTGATACCAACATTGGTGAATTCATTTTCTGTTGTTTCTGTTGAACTCTCTCATTTCAGATATCAGACATTCTATTGTAAAAGGAAGAAAACTTGCAATTGTGGGGGAAAAAATCAGCACTGATATCTATGGTCACTCCATAAATTTAAGGTATGATGCTATTTAGGTGCAATCAGTCATATTGTTCCCATAAACATACATTGATTAGTGTGTAATTACATCTTCCAACAAACTGATGCAGTCTACTAAACTTTAATCCATTAAAAGTACAAAGCAGTGAACACCAGTTTATAGATGTCTCACCAGGCGGAGATGGACATTGCCATTTTGCCTTATCTTGTTTTTTGTATGTGATTAAAGTCTGGCAACATGAGTAGGATGCCAAAAGCATAAGAAGTGAATTAGCAGGTCTTTGTTTGAGACCTCTTCAAAGTGTGAAATGTACGTGCATGCAGGAGTTGCGGTAAATTGCATTAAGCAGCAGTAACAGGAGAATATTCGTTTTTGTACTAACAAGGACTCAGAAGAAAGAGACCTAATGCTTAATGTTTCACATTTTACTGTTTTACTCTATAGCACACATTCAGAGCAGACACAGTCTCTAAGGGGATATGGTTTTAGGGGAATAACAAGAGGAACGAAGCTGCAGAGAGGCGTGTAAGACTGCAACTTTGTGTAACCGGTTTCTGCTTCACCCCGCTGCAACAGTTCAGCCCAAACAGACTCCTCGACTCTGCGTTGTGTTGCGTTTTTAAGAAGACAAGGAGTCTCTGATCTATCCTTGCTACTTTATTTCCTGAATGGGCACAACGGTGTTGTATCAGATCAAAGGGCTGACCCCACACCACTCCGCATAGCACACTGTCGTACGGCTACGGCAGACTGGCAGCGATTACTGCAGCCAGCCTCACCTAACTGGCCACACCCCCTGGTGTGGCCAGTTAGGTTGCACTAACATTTGTGGCAAGTGGAATAATACTACGCTGTTACATTTGCTTCCTGGTCCAAACTATTTAGTTACATTTTGCTCTATCCAAAATAGGATGGTTACCGTCCCTTTAGTAGGTGTGTCACAGACTGGGGGACAAGGATGAGAGACATGAATGGGTTGGTCGTGTGCTGTGGACCTCTGTTTAGGACTACACGTCCTCCTCACGGGCACCTAGTGATCAGGTTTTTCCTGCTGCTTGGTACAATCTGCTGGAGAAGAGTTAATAGTGGCCACACTACCTTTGGCTCCACTGGCTATAGGGGCCATACTGTGAATATAATTAATGGGTGAATCAAAAGAGATTGTGTTTGGATAAAAAAAATGTGAAGATTACACTATGAAATAAGATATTATCTATACGTTTTTAATTAAGTTTGCTACACCTAAGCAGACACAAAAACACCACTGTGAAAGCCAACCCCAAGTGAGAATGCCACGCAGGAAACCACTGTAATCTGTTTCATCTTCCACTGTGTAAATAAAACTGCAGATGGCCCAACTAGAAACCCACTGATCCTTGATGGTGTCAGTACTTTTATGGTCCCACATTTATTTAAGCCCGGGCTGTAACTTATCAAAGGGACAGTGACCTTTCAAAACAGACTCTATTTGGAACCAGGAGATAGAAGGAATAGTATAAATTGGAAGTAGTAGCGAGGCTCATCGTTTCTCTCTTGTTCTGATGCAGAACTGTGGTTATGCGCAAATGTGCTTGTGGGATGCTACAAAGTCATGATAAGCAATGCAGTAGCTGAAGAACTGTAGCTTTATCGCGTGAGAATATCACGATTATTGCTTCTACTATGTGCATTTATCTCAGCAGTGTTAAACCAGAGACTCGTTAGAGAAGATTTGATTGCCATTCAGACCTTTCAGTACAGGTTTAAGGTGCAAAATGAATGTTTTAGGTCATGTATACTTTTTACTAAGTATATTTATGTGTAATTTATTTATATGATACTTATTCTATTTTCTTCTTCTCATGCTTTTTAACCACCCCATACCCAACAATATTATAGTTGGGTATGGCGCAATTCCTGAGTCGGAGCTAATACTAGGTGTTGTGCTTTGTATAATTGTTCGTGATGTAAGGATTTTCTGTGTATAGGATTGTGTAATTTGGTTGCAGTGCTAGCAACAGTTGCAGTGGGGAGGTGTTGAGTTCCTGTGGGATCCCATTTATTTATAGTGGATTTGTAATTAAATCAGGGCAATTGGTGTTAATACTTTGTGCAAATAAGTTTTTTTTTCTTTTAATGGTCTAGTGTGTGAATGTGTGTGTGAATGGGTGAATGACTGAATGTAGTGTAAAGCGCTTTGGAGTCCTTAAGGACTAGAAAAGCGCTATACAAATGCAGGCCATTTACCATTTACAAATCTTTTAAATGATAAAACCCTATATGTATTTGCTGATTCTGGCTTCTTGGCCTGTTCCTTCTGAACTCATCCTGTGTGATTTTAATTGACAGTTGTATGAGTAGTAGGCCGTAGTGGCTACAGTTTTTTTGATCGCTGAGAGAACAGAAGATCCGCTGTGCATCCTCAAAGACAGGATGACTGTTTTTTATTAATCCTTTATTTATCCAGGTAAAAATCTCATTGAGATTAAAAATCTCATTTACAAGAGAGACCTGGCATCATAGCAACAAAAGTCACATACCACATAACATTTAAAACAAATACAATATCCCATACAAACATGTGTAAAATATACAATAACAGATCAAATTAAGAGCACATTAAAAACAATCACACTGAGTAAAAGAGCTGTGCTTTAAGTTTTGTTAAGTCTGGACTTTTTGTCACCTCTTATTTGTTGTTTTTTGTTTTTCTTTACCCATCTGTAAACATATGAGTCAGCCCTAAGTGGCTAATCCAGGAACTCCAGTGGCTTAATTTTTTTTAATGCTAATTGGGGTGCTTCATAACCAAACAGTATATTTTTTCAGTAACCACAGCAAAGTAGTTTTTGTGGGCAAACCTATCCAAACAGAGTGAGTGTGTGAGTGAATTGTCTCAGGAACTTTCAGGAACTTGTTCATGCATTATCTCTCCTTTTAGCATGAAACACAAATACAGAACAGAAACTGTCTCAAACTGTATGCTGTATGAATGAAGGAGTGGCTGCTGCCAAATTGCAATATTATATGATGGCAAGTGCACACAGAAAATAAAAATGACACTTAAATCTCATGCTGCTGGCTAAAATGTGGTAATCCAGCAGCCATAAACTAGTGGTTTAACTAAGTGTTAAGCTACTAGTTTAAACTAGCTTAAACTTATTAGCCATAAATTAGTGTCTAAAAACACTAGAAACACAAATTACCAAGCTGTATCTAACAAAAGTACTGGATTATTACTTATTATAAACGTATTTGCTGAACTCCAGCACTTCAAACCACCTTAAAAAGTAAAGTAGAAGGGGGCGGGAATAATATTAATTATGCCATTTTAGGTCCGGTAGGTGTGTCCCAAGAGATGAAAAACACATCAGCGCTTGTGTTTGTCTGTGAGCTAGTTCTTCCACTCTCACACAAAACATCCTCTTGTCTCTGCAGGACGCCCCTGAGTGTGAGAGAGACAGTGTGTCCAACGCTCTGTGCTAGAGCTGTAATTAATTTCATGAAGAACAAGCCTCATTAAATTTCTCGTCTTCATCTCACCGGAAAGAAAACATGACAGACACAAATACCAACATGCGGCTGAAACTGCCGATCACCTGCTTCATCCTGGAGATCATCCTCATCATCCTCTTTGGGGTGCTGGTGGAGTATGACAAAGAGACAGATGCAAAGAAGTGGCACCATTCGAACCACAGTGAATATGACAACGATTTCTACTACCGCTACCCAAGTGAGTGTTTTGTAGATATGGAAAGGAAAATTTGTGCATTGCTCCTACTTAATATAACGTTATTTTTGCACATAGCATATTACAGATTAGTGTAAACCAAAAAACGAAATAATACTGTAGTAATAGTAAGCTTGCCTCTGCCTTGTTCTTAAGCCTATCGGCAATTTATTTAAGAGTTTCAAAGGCCGATATATGTTAAAGTGGTTCTCTTTGTTACCTGTTGTTTTGAGACATGGCCTCACTGTGCACTTATTTTAGGACTGTTGCGTAATTCATCATTGCATGCAACTGTTTTTTCAACAAAACACAAATGTTCTCATCTGCATTAAAGGGGAAAAATCTGCTGAATTGCATTTCACCAGCTCTCTTTTCCCTAATTGGAAGAGTCCTATTCATTATGAGTGAACATTTCATGGAAATGTCTTCCAGTCCACTGCTGTCGCATGCAGGCAAAAACATTGTCCTCGCTATTTGTTAACTTTGTGATTTACGTTGCCCAGTAGTGGCAAAAACAACAACAACAAAAAACTTTTATAGGGGCACTCATTGGATACATAAAAGTATAGATTTGTGGTCAGTTTTAAGTAGTAACTTAAAATGATTGTATTTCCACTCTTATTGCATTTAATTTTATTTATATTTAATCAACATGAAGCCATAATAAATACACATTTTGCTTATCACAAGAGGACAATATATAGGACTTCCAGGAAGGAATTATATTTTAAGCCGAACCTAAAATGAAATGTTGTAGACTTAATAATGGAAAATAGGCGTTTTGTTTCTTTCATTTACATTGGTAAACTTAACACTGAAGTTCTTAGAAGTCAGGGAGCACAAAGTTCTAGCTTAGCAGTTGGGCATATTCGTTAAGATGGAGCTTTGTGTTAGGCTGGGCGTGTGTTAACAAATCAGACAGCATTCTGCGAAGAGAATCTGGGGAGATGAATTCCCTCGTCTTTACAAGCCACCTCCCACCTGCAGGCAGCTAACTTGGGTGTTGATCCTGCCCTGGCCTATTAGTAAGTCACCTTTCAGAACCTACTGCAGCAGAATTAGGTTACATGTGACTTCAAAACTGAATTACAGGAACTAATAAAGCCACAAGGTCAGCAATATTTTTTTACGTAGTTATTACATGACCCTCTAATTTTGCACTGGACGATACACCTTTATTAGTCCCACACGTGGGAAATGTGTTTGGTGAGCTAAACTAATAACTTGACTGTTATCAGTTGGTTAGCATAGCCACTGCATTTTGACACATCAATCAATGTGAAATGTCGCAGGACAAAATGAAACATTACAAACTGTACTTTTAACAAAGCTTTGACCAAATAACAACTATTTTCTTCAGCTCTGCCTCAAACAGTACAGGATTAATAGATTAAAATTCATAAAATAAGAAAAATAAGCAGAGACAAAAGGTTCATATTGGTGTATTGAAGTCTGACACCCTCAATATCCTGGGAGATGAAAGAAAACTTCACCTGTGTGTATGGAAAACCTACATGGTTTACCCTTATTTCATTCTTAGGAAAAAAAATGTACAGTAAACATAGAAGTTTACACTGTACAAAGCCTGTGTTTTACTGAACTGTCCTCCAGAAAGACAAACACACAGGTCACAACTTATAGTTAAAATGAAGACCTAATGTGGACTTTCTCTGAAATATGCTCTTATGAAAACCAGTGACATATAAGTTTCACTGGAAAAACACTTGCATGGGTAGGTTTGGAAAAAAAACAGAAATGATCTAACCGAGGAACTATAGTTGAGAACTGTGCTATTGAACAAACTCTTGTGCAATAGTTTACCTGAACTATTTCTTTTTTTTAAACCAAAGTAGAAATAAATAAATGAGTGACAATATTAGCGTTTTGAATTCAATGCAATGTGGAAACATACAAATAAGCTGGGTTATATAGTTATTACTAAAGGTTAAGCAGAAGCCAAATAATAGAATCTAACTCAACCCAGTGAAGCGTATTATTGCTTTTACTGTATGGCGTCAACTAGGAACTACTGAGAACTGCATCTGGGCCAAAACAGCAATGAAGACAACACCTCTGCATGGTCCTGCCAGTTAACCATTACCATAGTGACAGCAGGCAAAGCACAGTGCAATTTTGTGTTTGGGAATATCAGACAAATAGATAAACATACATGGAAACACCCGGGTGCAAGTTTAGACAGTTCAGTTTCATATGCTCTCTTGTCGCAAAAGCTAGTTTTTCACACAATACAAGTGATAAAGTGATGATCCAAGAATCAGTAGGATGTTTCACAGCTTAACCTGTTGTTCCAGTTAACCAAAGCTTATGTAAGTAGCCATTCAGTTTGTGTTTTTTTCTAGACTACAAAGCCCTCGAGTCATAGTGTCGCTGGCAATGATTGAGTGAGTTTGTTGAGAGTAGCTATTGAGGAAAACATTCCAGACCAATCCAAGCGAGTGATATCCTCCCTGAAGTGCTGTTGGAATTCCTCTGACCAACAAAAAATTAATTGTAGTTTGATTTAAAAAAAACATGAGGGGAAAATGTTTTAAATGCCATAGGTACTTCGTTATTTCACCACTTGGTTTCTCATTTTTTAACTCTTTTCATCCACACTTTCCAGGTTTCCAGGATGTACACGTAATGATCTTCATTGGTTTCGGTTTCCTCATGACTTTCCTCCAGCGTTATGGCTTCAGCAGTGTTGGTTTCAATTTCCTGATTGCAGCTTTAGCCTTACAGTGGGCCACACTTATGCAGGGTTTCTTCCATGGTATGCATGGAGGCAAAATCCACGTTGGAGTGGAGAGGTATGTGGATAACCATGCATATATGAATGTGCACCCAAACACATACAGAATATGCAAAATACATAGGATAAGGATAGAATTTTTTCTTGACACTTAATCCTCTTAGTTACAATCATAAACACGAGTGCAAACAATTTAACCCGTGCAAATTCCAACACATGTACAAACAAATCAGTTTCATTTGTTATTCTAGAGCTAGTCTTGATTTCTGCCTGTGAGACTGGCACATTGTGTACTATAAAATAATGGCAATAAAGGTCTTATTTTAGCCTTTTCTTATGACAAGGGGGACAGAATATTCTTTGTCAAAACTATAGGAGTGGCTAACTACTTTTGCAGTGTTAATGCCTCATGGTTAAGCAATTCCTAGAAATATTGTTCACCTTCACTGTGTGACCAATTGCATATCCTGCATTTAAAGCAGCCTGAATACATCTTTGGTTACCTGGATGTAGTAAACTGTCAATACTCTTATCACTTGATGAATGCAAAAAAAACCCAAAACAAAACAAAAAATTGGTATTCACTCTAGGTAGCAAGAGTAGTTTTGAGTATGAACATACTGAAAAGGTTTTCTAAATGCTGAGAAAAACTGGAATGCTACAAAATATGTCACATCATGCAAATTACAAAATAAATCTGTGGATTAGAAGAGATGCATTGTATTTTGTTATGTTGTCTTTGTGCTGTGAAGTTTATGTTTCTGAAATTCATTTTTTGAATGAATTCAATTGTTTTTTTGGGGTTTTTTTTTTTACATTTTTGTTTCTTTCAGTATGATCAACGCTGATTTCTGCACCGGCTCTGTGCTGATCTCATTTGGAGCTGTTCTGGGTAAAACAAGTCCTGTCCAGTTGCTTGTTATGGCTGTGTTTGAGGTCACACTGTTTGCAGTCAATGAGTTCATCCTGCTGAGCCTTCTTGGAGTAAGTTACTGTATAAAGATATTCATATTATGAAAACATTAACTACATAATTAAAGACTGGGACTGAAGACTTTGGCCTAAAATGCACAATGCATATCTGAATTGTCACCTATTTTCATCATTATTACTCCTGGCCTGTTCCAGACCAGAGATGCTGGTGGCTCGATGACCATTCACACATTTGGAGCCTACTTTGGCCTGATGGTGGCTCGAGTCTTGTACCGACCCAGGCTGGACAAGAGCAAACACAAGAACAGCTCAGTCTACCACTCTGATATGTTTGCTATGATCGGTAAACACCTGCAACTACTTCTGTGAAATACAAATACTAAATGTTCCTTATTATATGTATAGTTGTCTAATTTAATAGTAACTCTTTGGTCACTTGTGCTGCCAGGTGCTTGCCAGGCGCTATTATCATGAACTGTCTGTAATCACCCAAATAACAACACATAGAAACACTCTATAGTATTTGAAACAGGAACAGTTATATTTTGAGTAGTTTCAAAGTGTATATTTAAATCAAAACTACTGTATTGATGAAATATTAAAATGTTGTCTTTTCTATACTGGTTGTAAATAGGTACTCTCTACCTGTGGATGTTCTGGCCCAGCTTCAACTCTGCCATCACAGCTCACGGAGACGATCAGCATCGTACAGCATTGAACACCTACTACTCCCTGGCAGCCTGCACTCTGTCTACTTATGCCATGTCTGCCCTCACAGCTCATGATGGCAAACTGGACATGGTGAGGATACAAAATTATAATTTATGACTTGAATTGTAGCTTCAAAAAGCAATTCACCTTAACTCTTTACCACTTGAAAGCCTAATAGGAGTTTCCCTTGAAGCTTATTTCTAAACTGTCATATTTCAGGCCTCCTTTTGGAACAAAGATGTGGAACTGAGATTGCATTAGAAGTTAGCCTGTGTGGTCTCTGCCTATGCAGCTACCCTTAGTAAAACCCAGAAAGCAGTCTAGTGGACATCAATCCACATTTTTATTGATCCATACTGAGGTGTAAAACTTATTATAATGGTTTAGGGGAGGTTGTCAAATGTCTTCTTTATGGGGTAAAGTTTTAAGAATAAAAAATATAATTAAAAATATTCTTAACATCTGTAGAGGTCAGAAGAAGTGCACAATCAGTATTAACACGGTGAAGGGAGGGTGTGGTCAAGACAAAGTAATGAAAGAACTAGGTCTTTCCCTCCTGTCAGCAATGTCAAAGTCAGCTGATCCGGGTCACGACAGAGTCACTTGTGATAAAAACTGACAAACGTGTCAGCTGACGGTACACTCCCTCCTCAAAGATGACACTGTCAGTTAGTCACATGTGCTTGTTGTCAAGCCCATCCGTTAACAGTAAGAAGTCAAGGCGAGACATTCCCGTGCTGATTTGAATCAAACCAAAGAGGGAAATATAAACAGCTCGTGAAATTGACAAAGGGGACAGACATGCCACACAACCTGCTGACAGTAAAGACAAACCAATCACTGGAAGGAATCAGCTTGTCTGTAATATCGTCCACCTATTTACTAGCACGTGGTGCAAAACCAGTATGCTAGAGAAAGATGAATTATCTTACAGTTCTTGGTGCTCACGTCTGATGGTCTCATCTGTTCATTTATTATTTTGTAGGTCTCTTCTACAGATATTAAAATCTTTACATTCTGCATTATGTGATGCATTATTAAAAGTCCTTCTGTCACTATTTTAGGTCCACATTCAAAACGCTGCACTGGCCGGTGGAGTGGCAGCAGGAACAGCTGGAGAAATGATGCTGACTCCTTTTGGCTCCATGATTGTTGGTTTCTTGGCTGGTATCATCTCTGTTCTGGGCTACAAGTACCTCTCAGTAAGGATGATTCAGTTTTCATGTTTAATAAATCAGACAAGGAACTGTGATGTACTTGTGGAAGGGAAAGAAACAAAAACTGGTTGCTAAAACACACAATTTTGGTGAATTTTTCAAAAATATGTATGTGCTAATTTATGTTTTCAGGTTATTAAAAAAGTGGGTTAAAAAACACTAAAATGAATTCATTTTTACTGAAAATATTATTAACTTGAATGGGTTTCATCCACAAAACAGTTTCATCCACAAAACAAACACTGCCACATAATCCTCTCATTTTGTTTTCTCTCCATCAGCCCATCCTGGAGAGCAAGCTGAAGATCCAAGACACCTGTGGGGTTCACAACCTACATGGTATGCCCGGTGTTATGGGAGCTATTGTGGGAGCGGTCACTGCTTCTCTGGCTACCAAGGAGATTTATGGCGACGGGTAAAAATTTCTTTTTGTATTTGTTTGAAAAAAAGAAAAAGGTGTAAGGTCAAATATTATGTTGACCTTTCCCCCCGCAAAGAATATTGCAATAAAAGATAAGGGAGAACATAAATAACAATACAGAATGTTGATTTAAAGGAACACAGCAACATCTAATTTTTTACTTCTACTAGTATAGAGAAAAAAGGAGCACTACCAATAAACATCTTGAAGCGATCTGAGTTGAGAGCATATGGCAAAGAACACGAGTGAAAATAGAATTTGAAACATAATTTTGTAAGAACAAATACAAAACAAATATGTACTTTAGCATATGTTCTAAGTTATGAACTGTCAAGACCAGGATATAAAAGAACATTAAAAATATTTGATTTAAAATGTTATATATATATAAAATGTAATCATATATACATATTAATCATTCTTTTGATGATTTACAAATCAGAAATCATCATGCAGAAAACTGAAGGCTTTCTTCAACCTGCTCCTTTCATTGTTGGGGATTGCAATGGGGTGGAAATATTTTGGATGTGGAGGTGTGCGATTTTTAGAGTGAAAAATCCATCCAGCCATTCTATAAATTAAATGTGAACTTACTTGATATTTTTCCTCTGTGCCAATTTTAGTTTGAAAGACGTGTTCCCTATGGTGGCACCTGATGGGAGAAGCGCATCTTCCCAAGGCGGGATTCAGGCCATCTCCCTTGCTGTCACTTTAGGCATGGCCCTGGTGGGAGGGCTTCTTGTTGGTAGGTTCACATCCCTCCTTTAGTTTTTTTTTTTTTTAATACTCCTTTGATTGAATATCAGGTACTTTTAAAGTACCTGATACAAAACATAAAATACAATCTACTGGACTTTTGTGACCTGTGAGGTACCAGATCAGTAAAAAACAAAAAATGTTATGTAAACGATATCTCAAGATTTATAATTTAATAGTCAGCAGAAACCCAAAACCTTGCTTTCAACTTATATCTTAATAACTTCTTAAAAATCTTAATTAAGAAAAAAAGATTAATACAGATAATCTTTTGTTTAGGTTTCATTATGAAGTTGCCCATCTATGGAGCTCCTTCTGACGCCTCGTGTTTTGAGGACAGCATCTACTGGGAAGTAAGTTCAAAGAAGCTTTTAGAAACTTCTAAACTCTGTATCTGTCCACAGCCAAAGAAACACTGCAACTATACTACAGGCTACGTGGAGTTTAAGATTCAGACTTCCCTGCTGCAAACAGAGCAGTACCTAATTTTGCCACAAGATGGGAGTGTTTTACCAACAATCAGATGTCAAAGACGGTTATATGTTCATAGCTAGTAAAGCTGTTGAATCACCAGGTGGAGCAAATTCACCACTACAATTTATGATCAGCCTGGTTTATTACACAGAATCTGATTACTTTGGGCTGACGTCATTTAGATTTGTGTTGCCCTTGGTGCTTTTGAGTTTGTGTTTATGAATATTTGAATGACAACACGTTTAAAAGAAATACATTTGTTCCATTTTTGCAATCCATCTGACATTTAGATACAGTGAACCAGTAGACAATTAATACCATTAAACCAAGAAGCAGCTACTAATGAGTGCCTTGAATCGTGACATAGCGGAAAATGGAAGGATGTTTGAGACCAGTTGATATCGTAAGTCTGGAAACTCAATAATCTCCTGCTATCTGTCAGGTACCAGGGGACGAGGAAGGTCATGAGGGCCAGTTGAGCACTGTGAAGACAGAAGAGTTCGCAAAGCCAGAGGAGACTGAGAAGCTCAACTAGACACAAAAAGACACAGAAAGACAGAACCAGGCACACACACTGTGAGATTATAGCAACCTAGACCCTTCTAAGAAAATATGTAAAGCTACCTATATTGTACTAATGTTAATGTAAATTTGTCAAAATGTGCTGTTTTAGAAGGCTTTACATTTTTATTCACATCTTTGCTTTTCAAAAAATCCCCAAAAAACTAAAACTAAAAAGAACACAAGTGTCCATTTAATATGTTCTAGACAGTTTCAACCACTAGATGTCGATCTAGAGCTCCATCACTGTGTGCTACTGGCCTGCGGAAAGGCTGCATTTCCAAATGAGGTGTCCATTTGATGAAAGGTGCTTTGTAATCGTTTCCTAAAGCAAAGTATTGTTACAAAATACAAGTTTTACAGACAATCCAAACCAAAGACAGACATCTAATAAAAAATACCTTCAGAACATTACATATTACCACTATTATTCTTCAACAATATGTTGTTTTTTATAGTTATGTACATCTATTTGGTTAGTATGACACACATTTTAACATTTACGAGACTGACCTAAGGAAGGTTACATCTGAAGTTAAATAATTTTGAAAGGCAATATCGTAATATTTTTGGCAAAATAAATATTTCAAATGTGCATTGTGTCTCATTTAATATTTATGACTACGTGGGTGCACTTTTTTGTTAATGGGGTCAAAAACAATAGGAATAAAAACAAATTGCATTCAGTTATTGATCATCATAATCAAAAAATGGCCATCAGAATGAAACATAGAAAGGTCTGGCTCTCTTTAGCCTCTTATAAGATTTAGTAATTTTATAGAATATGGTAGGAAGGCAAGGAGCTATGTAATCAAGTCTCTGCTTATTATGATGAAGGCCAGTCATCATTAGTTCTTTTGTCTTGAAGGCTTAATGACTGCATAGCAATAATGACAGGATGGGTTAATGCTTTCAATTCATATGGGATTTGTCTCTCACAAGTAATTTACACAGTTTCTGTTTCAAGGATGAAACAACCAAAGAAAGCAGGTGTCCTCACAAGACATGGTCACCTCTGTATGAGAGGTGCTTAATGCCACTAAAGAAGTACAGAAACGCTATCAAAAACAAAGCATGTGTGCAAACTTTGTTTTATTGTTGGCAGCAACAAAGACTTGACAGGATTTGCATCGTGATGAAGAACTTTTAAAAAAGGACACATACTGTAATAACTTATTCCCTTGCATCAGCCCCCAGTCAGTAGAATCAGTTATCAATTGGTATCCAGTTTTGTCCATTGAGATGACTGTCCATAAATATAATTATGGTATATCATGTAAAAAACAGAGTTCTTCTTATTTGTATGGTTTTTAATCAGTTTTTAAATGTTGCCTTGTGACTATCAAACTTTGTCTACAGTGCCTAAGATATACTTGTACACATCTTTGTTTCTTTTTCTAGAATGCAATGAGGAACCCTTGTACCTAATGCAGCGTGTCTTTTCACAATGCACATATACAAAAATAGCAACCTTATATTTTCTTTGCAGGACTGATTGATGGTAACCACACACAGGTTTATTACAAATAATGGAAAGAAGAATACAAACAGAAGCTACAATGGGGGTTTTTTCTGCCTTCATTTTATGCATCAATACATTTAAGAGATGCTAGTATGGATGTTCCAGCAGTATGGTTTATATCTAGAAACATAACCACTTTACCTGATTTTATTCCAACAAGTTAGAACATTACAAGTAAAACAGAACAACATGCTTTATGTCATGCTTTAGACAAGAAGTGACATAGGTAACTGACCACCTCCAGTCCAATGTTTGACCACATCCCAACTTCCTCCTTTGCTCCAATCATAATAACTATGTCCACTATAGTGGAACTTTTATTTTTTTGGATCATATTGTTACATATTATATACTATTTCACAAAAAATATTTAATTCTTTTTTAATATATGTATTTTATTTTATTGTATTCTTCAAACCGATAACTTTGCCAAGAACACTTTTTGCTTGTTTAAACAAGCAAAATTCAATCTATAATTTTTTTTTTCTGATCAGTCACATCAAATTTCAGTCTGGATTATATACATGCATATAGTCCATGTCCCTGTTGTTTTCCTGCCACTGTATTGCATTAATCACCCTTCATATAAGAGGCCCCTTACAGGCTGCAGGGGCCTTGTTTTACCCCCCACCCAGTTTGGTGATGGTTTCCTTGGCGTGAACAGGCACCACAGCCTTTTCCCAAGAACTAGAAGACAGGTGGACAGCTGTTTACTGAATAGGCGCTTATAGTGAAGAGCTTAATTGAGCTTCATAGGGCTAATTAAAATGCAAGGAAAAATAATCATGATTATGGTAATTATTCTATTGTCTAATATGTCTTCTGGTGATGTGCTTCTTTGGCATCATACCTGCAATATGTTGAAGACAATGACAAAAAAAAAAAAAAGTAAAGATCCTTTGAGGTTGTCAAGCTTGTACAAAAGCTATCATTATAATAGAAAAAAAAAATGGTGATACTAAATCTCTACTGCCCAAAGTAGATCCTTTAGGGAGCTGGTATATAAATAAATATATAATAAATCTAAATAAAGCCTGGACAGGAAAGGCCATATTTTCTCCTTTTTTGGGACATTTTAGGTCTTTGTCTTCATTCATTTTTATAATTATTATGATGATGGAATTTTTTTGGTAAAATTGTTAAAATATATTAACTTTTTCTGATATAGCAGTAAAATATAATTTTAAAAACACATGATTTTTCACTTTTCAGTATAACATCTCATCCAAATTTCTACAAATAATATGCTCTTGACCTTATAACTGTACTTCTCTACATGTGGTCACTGGGCAAGACACAGCATGGGAATGATGCTGATCAGTCCCCCCAGGCAACACGGGTCATCCTAAGCAGCTGTAGCCTCCTGTGGCCCTGCCTCCGGCTCGTATGTGATTGTTATCCTTAACACTGCTCTGGAGGTGAACATAATGGATTAATAGGCTCCCTCAGGATCTCCTGGTCCCCTGTGGGAGCCCTTAGTCTGCTTGCAGTCCTGTGGAGGCCATAATGGGGTAAGGCTTACACTGCTATATTGATCTGACACACTGACAGGATATCAGACCCTGATAAGATTTATAAGAAAATACATCATTTATGAAGGGATAGCATGAAATGTACCTCAAACCACAAATTATTAATTCATGAAATTCAAAATGTTTTTCGCAAACAAGGCCATCAGAGTTTGATAATTTTATAATGTGGTATTTGGAATACATCCAGAAGTATAGAGCAGTAAAAGTGTAAAATCCAGTGTAGTTAAATGTAAATTTAAAAAATAAAATAAATACAAAAATTGTACAAAAATTCAGGTTCAGGTTAGCAGGTCAGTTTATAGCAGAAAAACAAGGGATAGTTTAGGGTTATCTGATCCAGGTCTAACTATAAGGTTGTTTGTTTTTGGTTTTTTTTTTAAAAAGTAAAGTTTTGAGTTTAATCTGAAAATTATAACGAATATCTGTCTCTTTAATCCAAACTGGGAGCTGGCGTCACAGGAAATGGCCTAATAGCTGTTGGCTTTACCTCCCATTCTTTAATTACAAATTCTCTGAATCATTGGGACAAGCAAGTTAAGCAGTACTTGCCTTGCTAAATCTAACAACAGACATAAATTAACATACCAAAGTAAATTGATTTCTCTCTCCTCTTATCTCGGACAGGGCTACAATAACGTTCATCCTTTAAAATACTGCCATCATGTGGCCACAGTCAGCTATTGTCACTGGAAACTGCACGTGTTTCACGCTCATAGGAACTATCGCTCTCTCTGTCGTATGGGCGTGTCGGTCTCCTGTTAACAGTGATTAGAGCTGGGCAAGCTGCTTGGCAGGTAGCATTTTTCTGGTTGATTGTAGATGCATGTTGTGGATAAACCTCCTGTCTTTGACTGTAAATTGATAGGAGACAAGTGTGCAAGGCAAACTGCCTCTGGCTCAGCTTTCACTGCTCTGAGATCAGTTATCTGCACTTTGCGTGGAAACACAGCTAGCATTAGCAAATAAATGAGCTTCATTGACATCATCGTAACAGATGAGTGTCGTTTTGCTAGCCACCTTGGCCAGTAATGATGATGATGAAGAGAAGCATGTATGGGAGAAGTGTATATCTCTGTCAGGCTTTTTAGGGAACTTTTAGAACAACCTTATAATAATGAATTGCAATACTTTAGCCTAGCAGTAATGAATGCATGAACTAGTTCTTTAGCATAACTCTGACACACAATGTTTCTAATTTTAGCGATACCTACATTTGTTTGTAAACACTGGAGGACATATCTTGAACAAAAATGATTCCAGGATTTCTCAGCGTTGCTGGAAGCCAAAGTAATTTTATGCAGAGTAAGTACCTGGTTAGACATCATGTTTGTAATATATTTATGGCCAAGAACAGGAAGCTCAGTTTTGTCAGAAAATAGTGGGACATCCAGGGCTTTTTGTCTTTAAGACACCCTTCAATTAAATTAATTGATTTTTGTCATCTGGGTTCATAGCTAGACATTGCTGGACATCATCAGCAAACAATGAAAGTGTATGCATTGTTTCCTAATGATACTGTCTAAGGAAGCATGTATAATGTAAAAACTATTGGTCCCAGTACAGAAACCTGTGGAACTCTGCAACTGTGAATGATGGATATAATTCAAACCACTGTTGTGCATTTACTTTGATAACAATAGTGTATTTTAGTCTATGTATTAAAATCAACAATATTGAGCACTACTGCATTGAGGCCTAACACGACAAGCACAGAGATGAGTCTCTTCATAACCCGCAGTGCTTTCTTTGTTCCATGATGAATTCTGAATCCTGAGTGAAAAAGTAAAATCTAAAAGTGCAAAACTTCATGCACTTTGGTTACCTAACTTCTTAATTTACAGTGATAATCTTTTGATTGCATGATTATTCCATCTGCTTATGGCCTTTGCTGAGACCCTCAAAAGCAAACGTCTTGCTGCGATTTGCACTCACAAGTACAAATATAAACACTTTGTAGGTACATTTAGAAGTGTACACTCATCAATGTTAATTAAACACACACTTATAATTTTGAAGTCATCCCAAAAGCCATATCAGCTCTCCAATCAGCACTTGTCAGCTGTGTGTATAATCACCACACCACAGAAAACATTTTTGCTTGAGCGTTACAACTTAAAATCTTCGCAGGGGAAAACAAACCATAGGATGTAATGCAAAAACTAAACTTAAATGCACATTTGAGATTTATGTCTGTGATTGTGGTTTAGGTTCAGAAACAAAGCTGTTGTTGTAGCCTCCTTGTCACCATTCTGGAAAGAGCAGAGCCCCAGTAAGAGGTTATGACTGATGCCAGCTAAGCAGGGTGATGATGGAGCAGCAGTGTCGGTGGTGGGGTGTTGACTAAATGCAGGAAGTAGTTCAGTTTGAGTGGGTTTTAGCCTCTTGACTGAGGGGAAATTGCCTTCAGTGTGCTTCACAAGTACATGGGAGTGCTTCACTTGAATTTCCTCCCTGAAAAATGGCTAGCTGTATGAATGCCAAATCAACAAAAGTAGAGGCAGTGTTAATTTCGGGCCCCTCAAATATGGGCCTCTTTTATAG